ATTTTTCTTAAATATATACATGCATGTGTTTGTATTTATATATACATAATAAATATGCACAGTACACACTTATATTATGTAAACAAAAACTTTTATTTTGGATGCGATTAATCGCAATTAATCGTTTGACAGCACTAATAATTAATTAGACTATTTATGAGCTTAACACTGAAATTTAAGTTATTTAATGAAAATCTTCCTCTCTGCTGCAGCTTAAATGTTATTTTTGCTTGTGCCCATTTAAACTTGGTGCATGAAGATGCTTCCCCTCTGCTGCAAATGATTTTGCAGCAGAGGGAAAGACTTTCAATGAATAACTTAAATTGTAGTCTTTGTTTAAAAAAAAATAAAAAACTTGAAGAGTGACTTCAGAATCTAGACACAAGTTGGATGGACTGCTTTTATTCAACTTTTTTTGTGCTTTTTGCCATTTCAGAGTTCTAAATTTCCATTATTGTTGTATAGAAAATGGTGGACAGTGCATTTTTCACCATTTCTCATTTTGTGTTCCATGGAAGAAAGTGAGTAATACAGGTTTATAGCATTTATAGCACACGTTTCTAGAATCGTTTCACTAATCATTGGTAAATTGGTATTTTGTTACTGCACTTCAAATGCTTTTAGTCTAAGTGGTTTGTTGTTTCAATCAAAACTCTTAACAATACTCTCTGTTGTTTTCTGTCAGTCTGTTGCAGGATGCTGAGAGTAAATCTGAAATGAGTCAGGGCATATCAGCTCGAGAACACTTTGTGTTTACTGACACAGATGGTCAGGTCTATCACATCACCGTGGAAGGCAACACTGTGAAGGATGGGGCACGTATTCCACCTGATGTGAGTGTCCTTCATATGTGTTTTGCATCCTGTGTATGAGTTGTTGTTTTATATATTTATTTTTTCTCCTGTTCAATTGTGTTTTGTTTTTATTTACAAAAGTAAACAAAGACTCAAATACAGGATTTACTTGCTCTGTATTACATGATCTTGAAACGTTTTCGATTTGGTGTTTGGTGAATTTGTCAGGTCACCACTGACACATTGTTCAATGAAACCTCAAAGGGTTTGCAATTTAGCTTTGCAAAGGTATGTAGGTTTAGACTTACCAAATATGATGTTGATATGATTAAATCTCTTGGAGTGGTTTGTTAAAGTACAAATCATGGAAATTACAAAAAAAAAAAACATGTCTACCGTATGTCTAACAGCCAACAACTCTAATGTTGGTGTGAAATTTCATGAAATTGTAGGAATTCTAAGAGCATTAAAAACACCTGAAAAGAGTATTAACATCTGATGCATTACCATGACAACAGTATTTAAGATATCAAGAATTATTTTGCTATTTTACATTAGCCATGTCGTATTCTGAGGTTTGAAGTGATTTTGGTAAACATGAGGATGACTTCAAAGCCTGTTTTAAGCGACACACTTGTGAAGGTAAAATTATGCCTAAAAGATTTGCATGCGCAGGGTAAGATTTGTGAAAGTGTACATAAGATAGCAAGCGTAAATAGAATTTGCGCTTTTTGCGAAGATTTGTAAAGGCGTAAATTGTGTTTCAAGTGTAAGAAAAGAGATTTGCTGACTTTCATTATTTTTGTAAGTTTAATTTGTGTATTGTGAAATTTCAGCCTTATACGAATGCAAAATAAACGTTATCTGTATTTTTATGACTTCGTTTTCCACGCATACACTTTTGGCAAATTTTTTTCGCCAAAATACGTCCAAAAGAATTGCAAGCATTCTGCAAGCCAAAACAACTGTGTCAAGAGCTGCAAAACAGATTGACCGTGTAAAACTATTCTGTGTAAAAAAAAATAAAAAAAAAAACTGTTGCAAATTACTTACTTACACTGTGTGCATAGGGCACAAAGTGTCTCCGAAAGCGTGAGGGCAAGGCAGGATTTCCTTATTCTTGCAGCCAATCAAATGAGGTTCTCTCTCTCTGACTCTTGATTTACTCTTATCTTATTGGTTCAATAAAAACTTCAGATGGCAGAACACATCTTTATCTTCATTTGGCTCAGCGTCGTTCTCAATATGTGCTTTATAAGTGCTAATAAGCAGCCAATTTGTTAATAATAGGCATGCTAATATGCAACTAGTTAATAGTGAAAATTGGTCCCTATACTAAAGTGTTACCACATATATATATATACAGTATGTATATATATATATATATATATACAGTATATATATATATTTTTTAATACGACTTTAAATGTGATTTGTGTTGTCATGTTATTTCATTAGAACTATATAATAATAATGACAATAGTGATATTCTAATTAGTATCTTAGTAATTAGTAAGTTACGTTGTGCCAGTTATGTTACGTTCTTTGCGCTGATAGCTCCGTCTGTCTGGATTCCAACTAACAGTTCCCTTGAATGTTTATAATAAAAACAGCCATCTATACAGAAAACTTGGATTGCGACAAAATTATCAACATCTTCAATTCAAAACCCAGACACCAGACATTAGAACAGACATCAGTCATTCAAGGTAAGGTTATATGGGTAGATTTTAGTCTGGCCCGTCATGGCATTGTTATGCGTCATATTTGCATTGTAATATTTGTGAGCAAGGGATATTCTGGAATGTACTGCAAAATAATAGCATATTGGCGAACAGTTTTTCTCTCTTTTTCTGGCAGTCACTCCAGTGCATATGTGTTTGCAGAGTGTCAAAGGTTTCTATTTTCAATGTGATTTTGCAGCGTTGAGAAATGTAGCCAATATCTGTTGATTTCTTGATCACAATAGCCAATTAGTTCATCAGAACCCGTTCACCACTCAAAACGCCATTTTTGTTCAGTGCTGAATTCTGCTCACTTGCAAATCCTCTCATTATAACATTATAACACAATATTGTTATATTAAAGGATAAAAAATATGTTCACCATGTAACCATCCCAGTGAAATTTTTCAACTGGGCAAAATCACAAAATAATTTAGGGGAGGGTCCCTCAACTGAAAACGACACATAACACAGTAGTGCATTACAAAATGTTTATATAAATAAAGGCAATCCACAGATCATTACGGCATGTGTATGAAAAACAGTCAATAAAGTCTTTTTGACTACAAAACAAACCGTCGCATTTATCATTTATCAAAATAAAGGACAAAAAAACGTATCTGGTTGAATGAGTACTCGTCTCTAAGCCGAAACAAGCACTGAATCCGAATACTGAAGTCCTCGATGATAGGAGTCAACAAAATCCAATAGTCCGATAGCAAGAGTAGCATTAATAATCAGCAATCCGAGTTTCCTCAAAACATAGAGTGCGTTGCAATTCTTTGATGTTGATGTGTCCCTTGATGAGCACAGAGTTTTGATGAAGTTACTTCCTAGTCCATTGATGAGGCATTCAAAGTAAAGAAGAAAACGGAATGACAGAAACAAAAAGAGTTCTTTTGATTGAGCTGAAAACCTAAGTTTCTCAAACTGAACTCCATTTGCGGTAAGGTTATAATAATAATAATAATAATAATAATTAGTTATGTAAGTGAAAGCCATGCTTCCGCTTAACCAAACAGGTATGTCTTACTCTACTGCCTACATCCATTTTATCCCTTACCACAGAAAATCCTGTAGGGCCCCCTGGAGCACAGTAGAAGAACTACACACAAAAACAACAACATAGTAACTGTACTATAGTCGGTTACAGTGTTGTACAGCATTCTCATTGTGTATAATACTTTTTTCATACACCAGATCAAGTGCTGGCATGATGTAAACAGGTTCTTAAGCAGTTCAAAAAAGGATGTACCTTATCTGCTGCTTTTAATGTGGGTGTGGATCGCAACACTGTGGTGCACAATGCACCAATGTCTTACTCTACTGCCATTTTATCCCTTACCATAGAAAATCCTGTAGGGCCCCCTGGAGCACAGTAGAAGAACTACACACAAAAACAACAACATAGTTAACTGTACTATAGTCGGTTACAACCATGTCAGTCAAATTATCTCTCTGATTGTGGTGACAATTTGATATAAAGCTGAAAATTAGTTTGAAACAATCCAGTATTCTCAATGTATTTATTTATCATTGTGAATGCTACATTTTCTCACACATTTTGTGAGAAAGTCAAGGTTACACCCAAATAATACAAAATAATTCCTTAATTCATAAACCTTTATTTTTTGCACTCTTGTAGCCTGTTTTGTCGTAAGTAGCAGCCATATGTGTAGAAGGCCAATTCTGTTTTTAAATGCACATTTTGGACATCATTGAATATCCTTGATACAGCTGTACATACACCTCTGTATGGATCAAAATAATTTTTAAACATTCCCTTGCAGTGTTTTGAGAGTATAAAATGTGCAGTTTCAAACTTTTCTGATGAAAGAGGAGATGAAGAGAAAATTGCTCCCTCCTTTGTCCTCATTATCCTTTCATCTCCTGTGGGGCTTTTTTCCGCAGTGTACTTATTTCTGATTATTTGTTCAGATCCGGTTTTTTTTTTTTTCACTGTGCATATTTTGTGTTTATAAGCAACCCATTTCTCTCTTCAACATAACCAGTAAAACAAGAACTAATATACTTGATTATCAGTGTCTTTCTTTTCATCTATTCTTTTAATTTGTTGCATCAATTCTCTGAATGTTCAAGATACTTGCTTGCTTAACTTTTTTTTATGCAAAACAGTTGTTCAGTATGCAGTTTTGGACATTTCAAACATTCGTTTGTTACTTTGTTGTCATTGCAGTGACCTTGCTTTATTCCATGTTTGCAGCAAGTGGCATCCAGTTATCATTTTTGAAATAAATATGGTTATTGGTAGGGCTGGACAATATGGCCAAAATTTATATCACGATATATTTCTTAATTTCGGTCGATACGGTATAATTCCGATATCGATATGAACACTATTAAAAAAAGCCTCGTAAAAACTGCCAAGAACAACAGATGTCTGTGCATACAAACTTATGAAAAATGAATTTGCCAAGTCTGACACCTCATATAAAACCATATAATATTTTAGAAAAGAAAAACAGCACAAATAAATTAATGTTCACCTTTTATTTGTATTTAGCCTTCATACAAACAAGAAATGTGAAACCACTGTCAAATAATCGTCTCAGACTCACCTAATTAATAATATATTTAACTTCAAACTATAGGCTAACATACACTACCAGTCAAAAGTTTTTGAACAGTAAGATTTTTAATGTTTTTAAAGAAGTGTCTTCTGCTCACAAAGCCTGCATTTATTTGATCCAAAATACAGCAAAAACAGTAACATTTTGAAATATTTTT